CAGAGTCACATAGTTGCTGCCAGAGTCACAGTGGATGACTCTGCTTAGTGCTTAACTGCAGCAGGAGGCGAGAGAACCGTGTGCCTCCTTTGCATAAGGAATTTTTCGCCTTTTAACCCTTGCTTAACTCTTAACTCTTAACTCCAGTGATCATAAAGATAGAGTAAAGGAGGCACGTGGTTCTCTCGCCTCCTCCTGCAGTTAAGCACTAAGCAGAGTCATCCACTGTGACTCTGTCAGCAACTACCTCAGCCTTTTTCCTTTTACATTTCTTTTTCTTTTTCATGATGACAGTGGTGAGGCCCTGCCTCCCCTGCCTCCCCTGACTGCATGTCCCTGCCGCGACCCTTTAATACAGTTCCTCATGTTGTGGTGATCCCCAACCATAAAATTATTTTATGTTTTCCCTATTTTTTCAAAAATACGTGTTTTCTGATGGTCTTAGGCAACCCCTGTTAAAGGGTCGTTCGACCCCCAAAGGGGTCCTGACCCACAGGTTGAGAACCATTGATTTATTGTCCATTCTGTGTGCTTTTTTGTTTTATGTTGATTGCTCAATGATCATAATAAACAATATTCCCATTCCTTGCAATTCTTATCAAACATACTGTCATCCCTATAAACCAAGAATCACAATTAGCTGATGAGGCAGAAGGGCTTCTGTAAATTTTATATCCTTTATTATTATTTTTATCAACTCAAGGCAGCAAACCTACCTAATGCCCCTTGCTCCTTTTCCCAACAACAACTCTGTGAGGTGAGCTGGGTTGAAAGAGTGTGACTAGCCCAAAGTCACCCAGCCAGCTTTCATATCTAAGGCATGAACTTACTTGTTGTGAAAGGGCTAAAAAAAACTGACAAGGAAATTATGAAGTTGTTTGTGTTATTTGCTTTTATAGTTTGTGTTAGATTGGGTAATGGATAGGCACACACAGGCTTAATGGTAACAACAGCTCTTTGTTGAATACAACAAGTGAGAACAATCCAGTGACAGCAGCCCTTTTATAGGGAGATGTCAGACCCTTCGACCAATAGGATTAAACCTATGTTCCCGCCGGAACAGAGGACCTTGGTGGAAACCACTGTAGTTAGAACTGATATCTAACACCCCTCCCCTCTTGGATGGAACAATCCTACTTGCAACGTAGTCACGCAGGTAGGCGGGCTTTTGGGTTGCTCTGCCTGACCTGCGCAGTTCAGAAGGAGGGGTTTCCTTGGACAGTTGGAAGGACCTGTTTGCTCCGCAGCTCCGTTTGGTGGAAGTTCCTGGAATCTTTCACAGGTCACGGCTGGAACTTCTAGAGCCAGTTCACTTGGAGCTCACTGCGGGCCTGAAACAAACCAGATAAGTTTCCCAGTACCCTCGGGCTTGAGCTGGCCATGGAAGGAGTGAGTGTTTGCTCCGTTTGGAAAGGGCTTTGGCTAACTCATGCAGAAGTTACCTCTGGTTGTCTAAGAGTGGAGTTGGAGAGGTGGTCACAGAGTTGGTCAATATGGCTTCTCCAATTCCTACCATCCTCGAGTTCTACCAGATAGGAGCGAGGGCCAGTGATGCCTATCACTGTGGCAGGAACCCACAGACTTCCCCCGGCGTAGTTGGGGGCATATACCGAATCCCCTATGCTAAATGTCCGAATCTTGCTTGTGGAGTTTGGGGGCGATGAGGTAGAATAATTGGGGTGTAGCCGGTCTAAGTGGGACCTTAGCCGGCGACCCATGAGAAGCTCGGAGGGGCTTCTCCCTGTAGTGGCACTGGGTGTGATGTGCTGAATTAGCAAATAGTGGTCAACCCGTGTTTGCCTAATCTTCTGGGCCCATTGTAGAGAGGGCCTCTTTTGCAGATCTCACCATTCTCTCCGCCTGACCATTGGAGGCCGTATGGAATGGTGCGACCAGGGCATGCCTGATTCCCTGAGCTGCTAGGAAGGTCTCAAATTTCATAACCGTGAATTGGGGCCCGTTCTCCGAGACCAAGACATCAGGCAGTCCGTGCATG